AATGCATTCATGTAAAATCTTTTATTTTTTTTCTTGATCTATTTTAGATTGAAATCACATATTATGATAAGAAAGAGAATAATATTTTTCAGGGTTTAATATATTGGTTTTATATTTTTCGATTATAAGTAATTCGATTGTATTATTACCGCTTATAATTATAATTCTCCATAATTTTTTTAATGGGAAATTTTACTCTAAGATTACTCAAAAACATAAAAAAAAAAAATGATTTTGTGTCCATGCGTTTGTCTAGGTACTCCATATGTATTGCGCGTGGGCCAGAAAGAGCAAACAAACAGAACCAACGCTGACATCCTCTTCAGAATAATTTATTATAATTACTAGAGGTAAAATATTTTTAACAGAATTATGCAAATTTGACACAAATTATGCATGTGACCAGGAATTATGATATATATGACAAAACATATAGACAACAGTGGTAAATGGTAGGCAATACATAACTTAAACAATTATATATTTTAATGTATATCGCACTTGAATAAGTTACCTATCTATTTAAAACTCAAGAGGGTTCACAGGTTCACTTGTACGACGAGTTCGTATATACATGAATAGTGATTAAAATTAATAATTTTTATTTCAAATGTATAAGGTACCTACCTATGTATCGTACATAAAATGTTTGTGCACGTTAAAGTCGTTGAGATAATGTAAAAAAAAATCAAGTAAGTACTATTTGATTACGGTTAAGGAACGAAGTAAAAAAACTGATGATATAGACTCGTTGTATCCAGCGAATGGATATATTTGGATCTGAATTTACCCTGGAATTAGTTTTAGATCATTGGGTATGATACCTAGTATGGATCAAACCAGAATTTTACAGACTGTAAGTAACAAGATTTTAAGAGACCAAATTAGTATCGTAAGTCATGTTGAAAAATTGATTTTTTTTTTTGTTTAATAACCAGCATTGTTGAGTTTTAATATGCGTACCTATAGAGTGTGGTATAAATTAATCAAACTAAATAGAGAAATCATAATTGTTTTTCAAATATAAATATCTCGGTATAATATTTTGTACTACGAAATTGCATAGAAATCACTAATTAGGTAGTTAATAATATTGTGTAATATGATGTATAACTGTTGGAATAAATCATATGACAAACACGTGCAAGTGGTGCAACCCTTATATGAAAGAAGTATTATAATTAAATTCTTCAATTAATTTAGACGTGTTCTCATTTTATAGAATTAAAATTCAATCAACAATACCTTTATTTATTATTGACAAACCTTGCATAATTTGTAATTAGTTAATGTATGTCGTTAAAGAAAAGTAGTAGGTACCTAAACCTAAGTAAGTAGGTAACAACTAACAAACCAAGAATTTCGTAACATTTAATCTCAGTACTACCTAGCTATTCTTGTGTGACTTGCAAAAAAAATAAATGAAAACGCCAATAATAAATATTAAATAATTATAACACAATAGCCCAAATCAATCAAAAACAAAAGATACAACATTATACAATTTTCAAATATATTAGTATAAAGATATAACTACATACAATTGTAAATAATCAGAACAGGTTTTAAAGGATTTGAAGTGGGGGATTTGATTACCCCCTTAGGGCTTTTTTTTTTTACTTGAATTATAGCACCATATGGTATAATGAATATGAAATTCATAAGTCATAACTATAACTTCAAACTTAATAAATGATACAAAAAAGGTATTTTTTTTTAATATCTTATCAATTATATTGCTATTTGATTATCAATACAAATTATCAAATTTAAATAACATGTTTATGTTCAAAACAAATTTGAAATTGGTTATAATCATGGATAATAAAAGAATATTTTCTTGGCTATATCTAACCAAAATTGCTGTAGACAACTTGCTACGGTTATGGTTTTAGATTATAGATAGATTGACAGATATAATCATTTTACCGCCAAGCAGTAGTGCTGCATCGCCCTTTAAATCTGTTGGGGAATGGAAAAAAAGTCTCGGGGAAAAAGAGTCCTGGGAAAAAGCATCAGGAAAAAAAGTCTCAAGGAAAAATAGTCTCCGGACAAAAAAAGTTCACAAAACTATTAAAATAATTTTTAAAAGTTACAGCGATAACAATTTATACAACTAGGACCTTTATAATTATGTAATATTTTATTTTCTATTCTGACATCCTTAGTGGTATAGATATGTATATTTTTTTAATAATATTATTGACTAAGATTCAATGAGATATTTTTTTATAATTTTATAATTATTAGCTATTATTTTTTTTATCTGTTTTGTATTTACTAAAATAATTTTTAAAAGTTACAGCGATAACAATTTATAGAACTAGGGTTTTTAATAATTATTTGTAATATTTTTTTTCCTATTCTGTATAAATGTTCCTGACAAGTCATTTAACTTAGTGATATATAAATGTATAATATTTTAATAATATTATTGACTAAGATTGAATGAGATTTTTTTTATAATTTTATAATTATTAGCTATTTTTTTTGTTTTATCTATTTTGTATTTAGTAGTTACCTATTATATGATTACATAATAATTAGATATTATCTTTAGATAATAGACTTTTTTTCCCGAGACTTTTTCCTACCATCAAATCTGTTATCACTTCACTTTTATAAAATAAATTAAATATTTTGTTGACTGTAACTGTGGTAAATAACTCAATTTTAATATTGAGCACTGAATAGTGAATACTATATTTTCATTGTTCATTGACAAATTTGTGGCTGGTAAAAAAAGAACCATACAATTGTTGCTCAAATAATTTATTAATAAATTTGTTTATTTAATATTAAGTAAAAGACTGTTGAATTTTTATACGGTTTAATTTTTTTTATATACATAACAGATGTTTGTTGACTAATATGTGTATATTGACATTCTGTGATACCAATTCGCCCCTTCCTTAAATGAGATTCAGATCCGCTACTGTTTTAACTAGAACTAAAATTCTATATTATACTTTTTATGAATCTTAACCTCAAGTCTCAATCATAACCAAAATCAACCAAATACTGTGCCGGTTCCGTTAAAACTAAGCAATTTCCAGTTCTTTGGTACTCAAAATTTATCTCGTATTTTTGGGAAATGTATTTTCTACCTATAATATTATACATCACTATGTCTGTGTAATTTTATCGAATAATTAAAAATAATGTTGTATTATATTATTCACATATCACATATATTGATATTATTATATTTTACATGTTCTATTGTGTACAAATCTGCGGGGGGATTGCCCCCCCCCCCCCATCAACATATCACCTGAGATATCGTAATTTCCTCCTGATATCAACAAGACACAATAGTATCTCAACCACCAATTATTTGGATATGAGCTTTTTTCAAAAAAACAGGTTTAAATTGTTATTATTTATGAAGTCACTTTACTTGTTCACAGAGTACACCTCTATTAATCTTGATTTAATAACTGTTTGACTTTTGATTTGATTTATAATTTATCGGTATAGTTAATACTTGGAATTCGATCGTGTAATACACTCTGAGTATAAGCCTCGCCCCGTGCCTCGTGTTTTTTGACTCGTGACCAAAAAACCGACACCATTCGACACCCACGCTTCACGAGGCTTGGCAAGGCGAGATGCGCACGACGTGTGGACCGACTACACTGAGCTCACGTTACTTTACACCACCTTGGCGAGGTGCAGACGTGGCGTATAATACTGTTTTACATCATCACTACACGTAATATTATCATTTATACCTTACCAAAAATATATTATCTTGCACGTGACCATAGCGTATCGATGCAAAGAACGATTGTACAGATATCAAATATTAAATTGGATTTAACTGAAATTATTTTCAGTAATATTATATTAGAGACAAAGAGATTAATTTTATTTTATGTTTTCAATTAAATCAAAATGATTTGAACTAAGGATATTATTATAACCGGGTGAGTGATTTGTGAAAATGAAATAAAAACCATAAAGTCACAATCTTTCATTTTTCTTGAACGAGTTATACACGTCATATATTATTATAGGTATAATCATTTTAATAAATAATCAACTATTATAGACGTGAGTAATTTTATTAACTTACTCAGTAAAATATCCAGGTTTACCGTCCACGCTATGTATTATTATTATTATCATTTTGGTTCTAAACTCCAATTTTCTATTCTAGTCGATTGCTTGCCTTTTCTTTTAGTTTCTTAAAAGTGTCTACTCTTGCATATATTTAATTTGTCCTATATAAGAGTTACGAGGACGTCATGAGTTTATATAGTATATAATCTACTTAAGGACTTCATATATATATATATGTTACGGTCAAAGTGTATAAATCGGGCATTGTAATACAGTGCCCGGGCATTGTGCACAATGCTCGTCATATTTGGGCAAAGTTGAATCTGATTTTAATTTGGTTACTTCGCCCGGGCATTGTAATACAAAAGCCGGGCATTGTGTACAGTGCTTAATTGTCTGTGGGCAATGTAAGTTTATTGCGATTTAAAACGATAACGATTATCAATTACATTCCCTCTACGATGGTATCTAACTGATGACTGTAGGTATTTTAACCGGCAATAGCCGATACTGTACCCATATGTGGTTTCGATATCTGTAATAATATAGTAAGGATAATAATTAATAGCTTATTGCTGCATGATAATTTTATCAGAGGTTATACCAACGACAATCTATACCGGAGATATAATATAGAATTTCCGATCAGTTGTAATAACATCATTTAACGGATTGGTTGTGTTTAAACACATATTATTATTAAGGTTATTGAAGAGTTATGTAGTATGTGGGAAGAACTGAAAATCGTACATGGAAAGCCACGGCATTCACAAAGCCAGGGCTCCGTTGAAAGGGCTAACCAGGACGTAGAAAATATGCTTGCCACCTGGTTAACAGATAACAAAACTAATAAATGGAGCGAGGGACTTAAATTCGTTCAGTTTATGAAAAATAGAAGTTTACATCACGGAATTAAGTGTTCTCCTTATGAGGCTATGTTTGGTACACGTGCAAAAATAGGCCTGAAATCTACTTCTCTACCAGAAAGTATCATACATAAACTCAAATCTGATGAAGATTTAGAAACTGCACTGAATTCTATAAATACCACATATGAAATAAATGCTGAGAAACACATTGAAAAAAAATCTATTGATACGTCTTCTGAAGAAAATATTGATATTGACGAAGAACCAGCTGATATTATACAATCAAGAAAGGAAACGATAGAAAAAAAAAGAAGAGAATCGTTGCATAATTTGAATGTTCAAGCTTCAAAAATGAAGACTAACTCAGAAAATCGACTTCGTGAAGGCAAAATTGGCGAAAGCGTTAAAATTAGAATACCTGATGTTGATAAAGCACGGAGTGATCTGCGATCCATTTTAGGAGTCATTATGTCTGGTAATTTTTATAATGAATTATACCTATAGGTATATTTTTATTTTTTATCATGTTATAACTAAAACCTGATTTTTTTTCAGTAAAAAACAATAATTATGAAATTGGTACCACTGAAGGTAAACTTCAACAACTTTATGCTAGAAATCAATTTGAAATATGCAAAGAGTCATTTGTCCAGATTGAAACAGTACCAACAACACCTCCGATATCATTAAGAGAAGCAGCTAGAAAATTTTCTAATCTTGGCGGTCAAGGATATGACCGGTGTAACTGTAAACAGCAATGCAAGACAAATAAATGTAAGTGTAGGGCTGCAGGTAGACTATGTACTTCTAAATGTCACGATAGCTTAAGTTGCCATAATAAATAAAAAAAATTTGTTAATATTCATAAAATAAATTATTATAAATTATTAAGATAATAAAAATTGTTTTATAAATTTTCTAATTAATTAATTGTAATTGCCCACTGTGCTTTGGTCATTCTGTACAATGCCCGGACAAAGTGTATAATTTTCCACATTGTCCATTGAAATTGGGCATTGTACACATTGTCCGGGCACTGTATTATAATGCCCGTTTATACACTTTGACCGTAACATATATATTTCGTATATCATAATAATCAGTGGCGTATCCAGGGGGGGGGCTGAGGGACTGCAGTTCGGTAAAAGTTGATCAGCCCCCCCCCCCCCCCGAAAAAGTTTCTGGCTACGCCACTGATAATCACTAATAACATATTACCTTAATGTTATTAGGTACCTAACCTATTTGTGTTGAGTAATTATATTATTACCTTCGTTACCAACTACCATCAGTACGAACTGATGTTTGCAACAGTCCTGAATTAAATCATATAATAGAGGGAAATAAAAACTTATTTTACTCTATAATTTTAATTAAGTTTGTTAAAACAGTTTTTTCCTTATTTAATTTGGATGTTAGTTACCCTTTTAAAATTGATGAAAAAATGATGTATTATAGGTAACTTAAATTGTATACCTAACTTAAATTATTAGAAAAGAATAAAGTTATTAGTTACACTTTTATAATTATTTAGTTCTTTCACTAGACGAATTGTTTTTAAATGTACCTACTAAATAAAAATTACTCGTCTCATTATTAATCTTGGATTCTGAAAAATGTTATAATTATTGATCTTGCAATGAAGTTGTTTTCCTATATTATTTCTATACCTATTATTATATTTTTCTATATATGAACGTTTTTCCAAGCAGTCATAAAACAACTCGAAAAGTTTAATTTCGCACTTTTATGGAACGAAATTCTTTTCCAGACCGAAGCAAAGAAAATTTTCGTACAAGCGGTGAAAAATAATGAAGAATTTTCAACAAGCATGGTTTCAACAGTGCTTTTAATCGTTTTTACGATGATTTATCAGTGCTTTGAAATATTTATAGAAATAAAATATAATATTGTACCTATATAGGTACTATCCACTCAGAGTTAGTTGTCTAAGTATTCGGTTCAGCTTTTTCTATTTTATAATTTATATATTACGATTATTATTAAAAATCGATGTAATAGGTGATTTATCGACAGTAATTATGGTCAATGGTCCTAAAGCATAATATTTTTATCACAACCAACATTAAGAAAAACACAAAATATATGCAATTTGTTAATATAATATTCTTAAGATAGTAATTTTTTCAATTAAAATAAGTTGTTAAGTGACCTTTTCTGTTGCTAAGATAAAAAAAAACTCATTAAGCTTACATGACATTTACAATATAATCTAATAGTTATACAACTTAGACCGTTGGTTGTTGAGTTAGTTGCATACCAATAATTAATAATTACAACTTATAGTTCAGTTATGGAAAAATATAATAATATAATCTGCTACCCAACGTTTAACCTTTAAACCAATTAATTTCTGTAGATTTAGACTAAGCGACATCTGCAGGATCCCTACTCTAAAGTAAATTTTAATTATCGTCCCTTATGTTAACGTGATTGGATAGCTATTTAGATATATTATAACTGAAATTAGTGTTAGTACAAGATAAATATAGGAACTATAGAAAATCAACAATAATGCATTTTAATGTTATAGACATGAATACCAATTGGACATTGATTTATAACATTAACATCGACAATTGTACGAATACGCAATAATAAAATAATTATTCGCCAAAATTGCTGCCTCTGACACAGAACCAAAACACTACACCTCCTCCCTTACGATGACTTCAAAAACTCCACAAAAATCAATATTAAAAAAAAAATGGCAAATCCTATGGAAAAGCCAAATTACTAAATTAAACCAGATCAAGAGCACAATATTCAGATGGGAAAACTCTAACCTAAATCGATAAGACGAAACAACTATAAATCGCCTAAGAATCGGACACACCAGGATAACTCGCGGGTTCCTTATGTTCCTAAACGGTGAAACTGCAAAACTTACAATACACAGATCACAGTCAAACACAGAAATCACAGGAAGTCATATGTACCAACAGGAGCGAACAAATCTCAACTTGACGGAAACACTCGATGAAATTCTTGGACCAAACTTAGATCAAAATACGAAAATTATAACCTTCTTAAAACTAACCAACCTTAAAGATAAAATATAATTAGTGTAATTGTAACTGTTGAGATAATGTAAGCTTTACAAAAACTGTAATCAGTATGTAAAAGATTAAGTAATGGCTTTTGCTGCCGAGTTATATATACAGATCAATAACAAAAAAAAAAAATAATAATTAATGATTAGAAATTATCTGAGGAGTAAAAATGTTTTTAATTTCTTTTATTATGCCAAACAAATCAAACTCCGTTAGTGTTTTTTCTAAGCTGATACTTATTTCGCAGAATATCTTCAACTACAAGACCAGAGACGTATTACGTATAGTGACATCAAATATAATATATTTTAGTCTTTCGAAGACATTAATAATTTATTGATGTATTTTTTATATAATAATGGTATCGACTTTTTTTTAATCGTCGAGTTAATCGAGTTCTCTTCCTGAATTCGCGTGAAATTAAATAAAACGGAAAATAATAATACGGAAATGTACCCAATATGTTATTTCAACTATGAATTTTAAATTTTATACTAGCAAGTTGGTACTACTTTTTTTTCTGGGGGGTTGGGTAAAAATTCCTTATAATTTTCAAACTAATCGGAAAAAATAATAATGTGCATAACCAGTTTTATAAAAATCAATGTCATTGTTCTGTTGTAATTCAAAAATAAATGAATATTACTATAACTTTAAATTTGCACCAAATATTTACATTGACATTTACAAGAACATAATATCAGTTTCAAAATATCTATTCACTCTTATTGTGGTATTTATTGATATATTAGTGTTTAAAATTGTTGACTTATTTTAGTTTATTTTTGATTTATGTATGATGAAACTTTTGAATGTGAATAAAAAAGCATAATAAGTTATAAGTTAATACGCCATAAGTATATCCCATTTAAAACACATTGAAAATATATAGTCCCTTATTTCATTAAAATCACGAAAATTTGCATTTTATATTATAGTTAAAAATTAATACAATTTATTATTTTAACATCTAAGGTCATATGAAAAAAAATTTAAGTGTAAAGTCACAAAAATATTTTATTAGTGTTTGAAGTTGGTAACATTGGATATGATTAATAACGATTTATCCTCAGTCAATTTATTTGTTATTTTGTTGTAATTAAAAAACTATTATTCCTAGAGAATTTGATGTTTTGTTTCTCCGTAAATAATTATTTACTAAACGCACAATGATATTCTCAAAATATTTAGACGGTATTAACTTAAGTTAATGACGGCTATAGGTAGTAATATTAAAATACTTACTAAATAAAATATGATATTTGTTATAACAAAAATAAAATCAACTTACCTTATTATTAATCGAGAAATAAATTACAAATATCAATGTAAATATCATTATATACCTATATAAGCTGACAGATAGTTTCTGCTCACTATCATTTTTCTTGTGTAATTATTAAATCATTGAATTCAAATTTAACACATCTATTATATTTACCTATAATCTTTACTAGACAACCAAAGGAGCTACTAGCTTAGGGCTTAGCTCTTAAATATATATTTGATAATAAGTCACGAAAAATGTTTTCTTCAATGATGCATAGAATTGGAAAAAACGAGTATGCTGCAAGACTGTTTCTCAAATTTTGGAAATGTTTAGATTTGTTGTACCATTACTGTGTCTCGTCACTCCTTCAGGAATACCGACCTTTTATACTGTAAATAATAAAGTTTGTGCTTATAAACTTAAATAATTGAAAATCGTATGGTCCTTTACTTTTAAGTATATTTCAAAGTTCCAATAAACAGTATTCAATGAAAAAAATGGGTGAGTGTATATTATAGATAAATATATAAATATTGGTAATTGGTATGCATTTATATTTATTACAAGCTATTTGAAGATATATAAATTTAGTAGAAGGATATGTAAGGAAAATTTCTACACAGATTAATAAGTAGAAAATATGAGGTCTACAGCTCCACCCTAAAAGAAAAGTTATATCGATATAATCGATACCTTCAATGCAGCATAGAGACTTCTCCGATTGTTCGTCATTGTAAAAACATTTCTGTAAAGAGTACCTAAGTTGAATATATAAATATATAATGTAAACAAAGAAACAAAACCGGAATACATTTTGATGTTGTAATTTTAATTGAATGTAATTTACTTGTTGTAACCGCTCTGCTGTACAGTAGGTAGTTGTTAAACATGTAATCGTAGTAAAGGAAGTGTTATGTTTGAATACACTAATAAATCATTGCATATGAAAAACAATTCTGAGGGGAGAAATTATGTCATCATAGCATACTTGTATAAATAATCAAATTTAATAATTAAAAAAAAAAACTAATAAATATCAAAAATATAATCTCATGGGTATAAATTGCTTGATTCTCCGGTGAACTTCTTATTTACGATAGAGATAGAAGAACTTGTCGGGAGCCTTCTGTTAAAATGTCTTATATGTCAGCTATGAAAAATATGAATTTTATGAATTTTTAACTGAAAAATAAATTACAAAATTTAAAAAAATATAAATAGCTTAAAAAAAGTCGAAATAGTTTGACAATTTCACCAGGTATGGAAAATCCTAATATGAATGGTAAACATTTCAAGAGTCTATGGTTTATTGTTTTGGAAATAAAACAAAACATACAAAATCAACTAACTGGAATTCGATAACGATGAATGAATAAAATCAACAAAATAATGAATGACAAATTATGTAATTACAATAAAGCGTCATAGTTTTCGTTACAACAATATATAGGTATTTATGCATGTATTGTAAGCAGTGGCGTTCCAGTAATAGGGCATAGGG